TGGTCATCTATAAACATCTATTTCTCTTTGTGGTATCAGACCCGTGAAGATCCGGGGTAGAATAGATCTTCAGCAACCCATGCTTGCCGTAAAAGGTGACTATGCTTGTCGTAAAAGGCGACTAACGGGATCGGGTGGTCAGGCTCGCTGACTTGGTTGATGCATGTCATCGATCCCAATTGCGTGGATCGATGCTCATGATATTAATCACTGGATTGTCTGGTCCGGACTCGATTATTTACAGACCGCCGTCATATAGCTGGAATATTGCTGAGTGCGGCGTTAAACAAACAACCAACCAAACAACCAACTTTGTGGTATCGAATATAAAACGCAATACGTAACAACATTTGAGTTCGTTTCTCTGCCACAAGGAAGGGATGGATTTAATTTTGGTCAATATATGCCTATATATATACTCCCGGTGCGATTAGTGTTTTAACTCACACTATGAAAATAAGGTAAGCAACATTGAAACGACAAATGTCATACACTCACGAATTTGCTGAGACGATACAATGATGGTGTTTGCGAAATGGATGAGGATGTCCTGGTCTCCGTAGCAACAGTTATCCGTCAAGGCCGACACGGACATGGCGGTGTTTATACTTCACTTACGGAGTTGAAACAAAATGGTTATAAGGTCAATTCCAAATTAATAAAGACCTAACTTGTCGTGGTATTCTGTTTCCTCGGTAAACTGAAAATGTTGTTTTGGGGAAACAGAACCACGGAACAGTGCCTTATAAATCGTAAAACTAATTTAATGTGATGATAACTGACGCAACTGTCTTCTATGTTACTGTGCAATACCATTAACACGGAGTTATTAATGTTATTGTTTGTTGAATAAATGAAGCGCTCAAAACATGTTTGAGTAAAGATGCTATCGTATCACTGGGACTGCCTTGTCCATCACTTGATTATCTGGTCACATCTCAATTGTTTCACAGGACGTCGTCGTTTAACAGGGGTACTTATTTTGCAAAAAAACAAATTGTGTGACTGACTGGCTGGTGTTACCGGTGGGCAGGGACATACGTTTCGCGAACACTGGGTGTCATTACTGATTTTCAGTGATCCATTAATATATATGTCACCACTATTTTGATTTTTAGGCCCAATGGATATCGGCGGATATTCGAGACTGGTTATTCTCTGGCATTAACGTCTAATGTATTACATTTGACAAACGACGTGGAAGTATTCTGAACAAAACAATGGCCCAACACATGGGAGATTAACTCGGGTTGCGTATCATGTTAAAGGTATGTTCTGTTCGAACTGCCTTATTTCCTAAGATACAGAAAATAGTGCATTCTCTGAAGGTACATCATTAATTTTACTGTTGAATGTTTTACATAAGAGATTTGTCTGGTTGACGGTGTCGCATAGGGTCGGTGTGGTTTTTTTTCTTCTTATATATAGCTACGCAGAGATGCACGCCTTGATCTTGCCGGAAATATATGACCATAGGTTCGAATCCCAGATCAATCCAGCTTATGTTCCTAGGGTTGTCAGCACAATACCAGTTCTCGTAGGTTTGAGGTAATGTTTAAAATGTCTCAGATCACACTGAACTTTCCTCCCACAATATAAAGCTGGCACGTCGTAATATTACTGAAATACTGTTTAAAGCGGCGATAAACCCACCGCACTCACTCCACAGTGGCACAATGCATTCTGTATTAGCCCTTCAGTTGACTTACACCGCGCGACAAGACCAAGTGTCTGTATACATCACAGAACAGGTAATAAAACAAGTGTCTCCAACAACACACCAATATGTACATTGACACAACTATGTAAAATATTAACTCAACAAATGAATAAAATGTAACAAAAGCCTTCCGATGTCTTTAGGTATCTTCATATAAGAAGCCTGGCTACAGTCGAGGATGTGCAATCAAAAGTCCATTGAAGTCCAATCTAAAAGTACAAGATGATGCGAAAAGGTTTTGATATAAGCAAAATTACTGTTGATCATATTTCCCTATCGGAAGCCATACAAAAACACCTGTCAATACCTAGCTCTGATTTACTCTGTGAGCGTACGATTACTATCAATGAGGATCTAATGAAATCTGTCCATGATATTTGATCTCGAAAAAGCCCACAGTACATCAGGTTTCTAATACCGACACGGCTTTCTATGCTGCTACCAGTAAGCTAGAGTAAATCTAGCCTGAGAAGAAAGGTCGCAAAGATCGTTTACTTTCCTCTCCTTTGGCGAGTTTGTAATACGTCATGTTGATATGTATGCCGTCCAGTAAACAGCACCAGACCCATCTGCATTACATCAATTAGGTAACAGTTTTTGTAACCTCATAACTGTAAAAGACAGTTGATGAAACTGTCTGCCAAAATCACCTGAAACTGATCAATAGCATTAGCTAGATGACACCATTGTTATCCATCTACACAGACAAGCTTTAGTGATGACAGATTCCCTTCGGTATCACCTCTCCCTGTGCTTCATCACTGTTGACCTACACGCCAGCACAGTGCTACAGACTCGTTTCTCGTTTACTTCGTTTTGGGGCCTGTTGTTCTAGAATTATTAAGATCAGTTCTCGACATTAGCTGTTTAGTTGTACTGCTCATGAACGAACAAATATAATTGCCAAATGATCATCTCAAAGATGCAAGTACGTCCTATTATTTAGTGTCAGGTATGAATGTCATGGAATATCTTGAATTGTTTTTCTTCCATGCTGTGGAAGGAAATGCGGCTCGCTTTATTTAAAGAAGGGATACAAGTGTGTATGGGTAACAACCATGTGATCACTTTGCGGTTTAGGGATGTTATGTTAACTGAATATCATTGAGTAAAGACAATGTTTTGACATTGAGGAAGATGAAAAAGATGAAGAGAGAGTTGGATGCAAGTCTTAACATTTCAGTTATACCGCTACAGCTTGGTGGTGAGCCTCATGTTACAGAAGTCGTGGACGTTTAAGATAGGGTGAAAATCAAGGACACAGCGTTGACAGACAAAGGATCTCAAATCAGGGCGAATCGGGGTTTCGAACACATGACCAGCGCCTTCTGGCGCGATTACGGGAAGCAACTATGCACCATTTCAGTCACGTTTGACCACTGTAAAACCTATGTTCCCTATAAACAAAACTTTTTCAACATTAGTTTTTACACTTCACACTCACTTTTTGCAAGTGTTGACTAAGACACTAAGACATCCGGTGCTGCATAGCCAGCAACAACGCTGGTTGTCGTATATCTGTTTAATGCAGAAGTTACGACAGCCACAACACTATGGTCGTTGCACTTCACAGGGGCAAATTCACAATCTTCAAAAGGTCATGTAAATGGAACTACTTTTTCCTGCAAAATAAAACATCAATACATTTGGACCTCTAGTCGCGTTCAGCATGGAAGGTCACGGTCACGCCATTCGAGGGGCTCCATCATGAGGCACAGTACAGCGTTGCATCTGCACCCCTGCAGACACCACAAAAATAAATTTAATCAACGAACGATATCGTTGACATAAATGAATTGACGTACTGACACCTTACATCCCCCACATCCTTCAAGAATTCAAACTAAGGGACAGCTTAGGGAAACAGACTCGTTATTATAACATCTTGGTTCATTTACCACCTGCCTTTTCTTACAAGAGACAATGCGTGTCAAATTAAAATGTAGAAGCGGTCCCTATTCCCATTCTGGTGCCCCTAGAGGATGACGGAATGGCAGACGTGTCTAGCCAAAATTTGAAAGCCTGGCATGAGACAGGCATCTGTGCAGAGTAAATACACTTATTGGCACGAATTCCGTTTCGATTTAGATGTAACACGCGAGACGAAACTCCATTACAAAGTGTCAAAGATATCTGGGGTTCTTACATTTAAGCATTACCCATTACTTAAATAAACAACCGTACTTACTCCTATGAGTGAATGCGGGGGCACGGGTGGCCCAGTCGTCTAAGGCGCCGCGATTCGCTGTGCAGATTTGCGCCCCTTTGGCACGCCAGAAACCTATGATTGTGGGTTCGAATCCCGGATCGCCCCGATTATGTTTCTAGGTTTGTCAGCCCCATACCCGTCCTCGTGGGTTTCACCGAAGTGGTTTACGTCTAAGACCTGCATCACTTCGGGCTTTCCTCCCACATGAAGCTGACACGCCGCGATATAACTGGAATATTGTGAAAAGCGGCGTTAAACCCAACTCACTCACTCACTATGAGTGAATGCGTTAGGTTTAAAGTTGCTTCGGACAAAGTCTTCAATAATCACTGCTCCACAACTCAATATGGAAGGAAATCCCAAGCGATGCAGATCATAGACGTTTTCCACTTTCAAACCAGGCAGTGTCGGTATGGTTCTGAGGGACCAGGGATCATAACCAGTAAGATCGGGTTATCGAACTTGTAATTACCGGTTATAACCCGACACAACTAAGGGACGCAACTCTGCACAGTGAATGTCTGCGCTTATACCTATAGTTCACCCATGCCTCATACATTAGTAATATGTGCATGGATAATCGCATTTCGGTTGTGTGCACGTTAAGATATACAATCATATTCATGTTTACACAGTGTTACGAAGAATCCATATAAAAACATTTTTCCAGTTAAACAAACCTATTTATGTGCTACAAGAAACAGATGCGATCGCATGCAAGTTTATCTACGGGAAATGAATGAAATTTAGAATTCATCAAATTAGCGCATCAAATGTTTAGTTAACACGTAACGGAGGAACGAAATTAACTAAATATCTGCACATTGTGTTAGGGACACGATATGACTAAGCTCTCAGAGTGATTACCTTGCTCTTTCAGCACTGGCCATAGTGAGCCAGTACACGCGGTATGCTGGGCTCCGGGAGTGGCAGGCTGGGCTTGATCATATTGGTAACAGCATGTTCACTGAAACCTAGCAACGATAGTTTTATGGTACACTCGAATACGTTTTCATGTGCACGCTGGTCTCGCTATAAAAATGCAGACTTGTCAGCTCCTTCTACAAACCGTTAACTTTCCCTTATAGGACGAGGTATGATGAGGATCTGCAACAGGATCTGCAACAGGATCTGCAACAGGATCTGCAACAGGATCTGCATAATTTACGAAATTAGCCAAACTTTTAAACATTGTAATCAATGTTATCAGGTGTGTTCATGAGTGAGTAAGCTTTTAACAGTTTTCAAGTTATATCACGGCGTGTCAGCTCAATGTGAGAGGAAATCCCGAAGTGATGCAGGTCTCAGATGTTTACCACTTTGGTGAAACCAAGAAACATAATCGGGGAGAACCGGGATTCGAACCCAAGACCAGAGGTTTCTGGCGTGCCTAAGAGACGTAGCTCTGCACACCGAGTTAGCCGACTGGGCCAACCGTGCCCCTAAATGTGTTCATTAATGCGAACAACATTTACAACATAAGTTTGACTTATAACAATTAATTTACGTACCAAAAGTTTAGATGTGTTAAGGTTTTTCATGAATTTTTCAACTATTTGAACATGAGCAAGAAGATTTAGATACATAATGAGCTTCAAAAAACATCTCCACCAGTGGCAACTGTCACAAATAGAAAGGCAAATCAAATGTTCACCTGAAAACCACGGGAACATAATGTTATGGTACAAGTTAAAATAGGGAGTTGGACTTCATTTATGTCACTGATGCGTCACATGTGTACATGTCCCCCACGTGTCTACAATCAAACGTTTTGAAAGCTTCACTACGGCCTTGAATGTTGTACACCTGATCAAACAACTTTTTTAGTAAGAATCGTTTGACGCTCTTTGAAATTTTCGAAGAAAGAGCATGCTCGATTGTAACTCAAATCTCAAAACAAAACCTTTTGGAATATTGCTCGACATGAAGGGAATATTGGCTGTTGGAAAGTGGAAGTAATCCCACTTGCATATATCTAAATATGAAACATATCAGGCGATGTCAAGATCAGGTGGGTAAAACAGTGTGAGAGAATAAGCGAATTAGTGATTTAACGATATCAGATCATGGATATACCTGAAGCTTAAGTTAATATCCTTGTACTCATTCCCTCATTTTGGTTTTGCCTAACCGATCTATTTAAAAGAAAAGCCAAACACATATCTTGGGTCACAGACTTGAACACATGTATATGGTTAGAAGTTCTGAAAAATCGGCTTTTTCCTCATTTTAGCCAACTGAATGTACTAGATAATAACAAAAGTCCAACCCTTGCAAGTTTAAGAAAGAGAAATGGCTAGTTGAGGGGGGGGGGGGGGGGGGGGGGGGCGGGGGGCGCCACCTGGTGGCAATATGAAAGCTAACACAGACTAACAGCTCCGAAGTAAATATCTACCTGACAGGGCCATAGCTAGGACTACGACAACAGGAAGCATCATTGGTTGTCACCTAACAACATATAGAAGCAACATTGGATGCTTAACAGGTACGTTTGAAGCGAGTGGTATCCGTGCGTGTCGCCATGCTGCACGTGCCGAACGGGACAGGTAGATTCATGAGGGTGACCATACTTAGTCAGTGTTGCGCTATTGATACAGTTGTGTAATGATGTTTAGAGTAACCCGGGCCCCTTACCACACCCCAGAGGTAAACAGTGAGTGAGTTGGGCTTAACGACGCTTTTAACAGTTTTCCAGTTAAATCACGGTGTGTCAGCTTAATGTAGGAGGAAAGCCCGAAGTGATGCAGGTTTTAGACGTTTACCACTTCGGGGAAACCCACGGGCACGGGTATGGTGCTGACAAACCTAGAAACATAATCGGAGCGACCGGGATTCGAACCCACAATCATAGGTTTCTGTCCCAAGGGACGCAAATCTGCACAGCGAATAGTGGCGCCTTAGACGACTCTGAGGTAAACAAGGGACACTGGACTGCATGGTTGACCCTAGCAGTCGAAATATGTTTGAGGAAAGAAATGTCTGAAAACTTTGACAAGAAGAATGAATAACATGGAACAAGATATCCAGTCGTTGGCCAGTGAAAATACAGAACTGAGAGACGAGGTTTAACACCCGCAAAAAAAATCTATGGAAAGCCAGGCCAAAAGAAACAACGTGATATTCTACAACGTGAGGGAGAGTCAGAATCATATGAAGATACCCTCGATGCTGTAACCAAGGTGATGACCGAAACTATGAACATTAAACAAGAGGAGATGTTGCAGTGCATAATGTAAGAAGACTACCATCCAAGGCATCCGGTCCCAAACCAATGCTTGTCACATTTGCCCAACCTTACGACTAGTCGAAAGTAAAAATGAGGGCAAAAATCTGAAAAGCCAAAAGATCAGTGTGTCACATGATTTCACAGACGATGAGAGGAATATTCGGCGGAAATTAAAACCTTTCATGGACAAGGCCAGACAAGATGGACGTTTCTCTTTGATGAGATACACCAAGCTGCAGATATACAACGACCTATATAAACTCGACGAAGCCATTCCCGGTAATCCCAAATTGACTCTAGTTAGACGGTTCAAACCCAGACCACCCTCCAGTGAAAATGTTCATGAAATTTCACCAGTAGTGTGCAAGGCTCACGAGATGAATATTTAGGGATTACTGGTGTCTGCTGGAACATTGAAGGATTAAAATCAAAATTGTATAAACCTTCCTTTTGTGATTGTATCTACAAATATAATATTATAGGTCTAGTAGAGTCCTGGGCTGGTAAAAATGAACACTCGAAACAAAAGTGAAAACGCCATAAGAAATTCCGGAGGACTACATGTACTTTTATTGGTGAAAGACCTTTTTGTCTGATCTATGTTCTGTCATAAATGCAGAATCTGAGGATATACTGTGGCTTAAGTCCGAAGTATGAGTGATGACATATTTTTCCCGGGTCTTGTATACTTTTCTCCACCCAACTCAAGTGCCTTCTCAGCTGAACCTATTTTTGATATCTTAGAGAATGATATAGTAATATTTAGGTCAGATTACCCATATTGTCATGTTGTTGCCATGGGTGACCTCGATGCTAGAACTGGTCGCCCCCCTGATTATATTGTAAATGATGATTCCATATATCTGCCCATCGATGATGATGTTAATTATGTGGAAGATAGTAACTTTTTGCCAAGGTCTTCACATCATAAAAGAGGCAATGCCCTATTAGCCTTCTGCAAACTCACAGGGCTCAGAATCTGTAAAGGGTGAATTGGTGAAGATGCAGGGACTGGTACTTTTACATGTTATGCTAACAACGGCCAAAACGTGGTAGACTTTGTTCTAGCAACTGCACATTCATTCCCAGTTTTTTCATCATTCTTGGTTGTGAACCAAGTGTCGTCCAGCCAGTTACTTGTAACAATCTCATTAAAATTTACGATAATAAATTCTAACACCAAAAATTCGACTATATTGGAAAGAAGAGTTCAAAACGAACTTTAATCATAACTGGAATACTTTTCCGGTTTGTAAAATTAGTGAATTCTAAGATAATGTTTTCAATTCTACAACAAGAACTGTTACCTCATTTGTAAACATTATGACAGCCTGTGCTGAAGGCTGTAGAGTTTCTCAGTTAAGCTTACGTAGAAGTGATGTTAGAATGGGAGGTAACTGGTACGACACGGAATGTGTTGAAGCACGAGCCGATGGACGCAGGTGGTTGCGTGCATTTGATGCCTCTAACAGTAAAGTTGATAGACAGCTATATTCATCGGCATGGAAATACTATAAAGAACTTTGTGTAACTAAACCACAGCATTATAGATCTGTTTTGTTTGGCAAACTTGTGTCTTCTTTTGAAATATTAAATAATAATGTAGTTCGGTCTTTTGTCTCAAAAACAACTTCTGGCCCTTTGAAAAATATATCTATTAATCACTGGTTTAAACATTTCAAGTCAGTGTTTCACTGCCGAGAAAGTGCAGATTTTGTTGAGTTTTATGAATTTGTAGATGACTTTATCAATTCCATTGGTGATGAGTATATAGATAATTCAGTTGTTCCCGAAAGTGAACTAGACACTGAAATTACTCTAGAAGATTTGGCACAAGCTCTTGGAGATATGAAGTGTAAAGCTCCTGGTTATAGTGGGATAACTGTGGATTTGTTTAAAAATGCCCAAACCTAAAAGTCTGGACATGGTATTACAATTGTTTTATGCAGTATTCATAAGTGGCACTTATCCAGATCAGTGGTCTTTTGGCGTCATAATTCCTATTTGAAGAAAGATAACCCAAATGATCCCTCTAATTTTAGACCTATTACACATTAAGAAGTAGCAGGCAAAAGTTTGCAAAAAATGGTACGGAGCAGAGTAGCCAAGTTGTCTACTCTTGAACATTTTAAAGCAAATGAGCAACCAGGTTTTAGAAAGGGTTTCCAAACTTCCGACAATATCTTTATTGTCAGTACTTTATTATATAATATCTGTCTCAAAAACGTGGCAGGATGCATGGTGCCTTTATAGATTTGAAAGGAGAATTCGACTTTGCGTATAGGAATGGCGCACTCTTTAAATTGTGGAAAGGAGGTATTAATGGTCGAATGTTTAGATTAATCCGAAATACCTATAGATCAGTAATTATATATAAAGTCCTGTTCTTCTCTAGAAGGTGGATATACACAGTTCTTCGAGTGCTACTTTGGTGTTAGACAGGGATGCCAACTGTCGCCTTTTTTCTTTTCATGTTTCATCAATTATATTGTGGAATTTTTTAATTGTAAGGGAGCTCATGGTGTAACTTAAAGTCCATTGGAAATATGTATTTTATTATTTGCAGATGACATAATCTTGTTAGATGAAACAGCTAATTGCCTACAAACAGTCTTGACCAACTCTCTATATATTAAGATAAATGGAAATTGACTATTATTTTTCAAAAAACCCAAAGAGATTGTATTCAGGAATGGAGGCAATCTTTGATTTTATGAAAGGTTTAGGATTGGAGATTCTGTCATTGACAAGGTCCCCAGTTCTAAATATCTAGGCTTGCTGTTCTCATCCTCTGTTTCTTGGTATCTTGCTCAAAAGACTTTGGCACAACAGGCATGGAAAATAGTTCGAATACTACAATCAACACTGGGAAAATACTCCACAATCCCAGCTAGTATCTGTTTTCATATTTTTTAAA